GTGGCTTGATGAGTGGTGTATAGGTCTGCACCTGGGATCTGAACCTGAGAACTCCGGGCTGCTGAAGTGGAGTGAACTTAACCACTACACCACCAGGCTGGGCCCCCACATTGATTTTTAAGGTGATCTTTTTTTATTGTAGTGAAATATACATAACACAAAATTTATCATTTTCACCGTTTTTAAGTATACAATTCAGTGGTATTAACCACATTCACAATGTTGTGCGATCAACACCACCATCCATTTCCAGAACTTCTTCATTATCCCAAACAGAAACTCTGTACCCACTAAACAATAACCTCCCATTCTCCCCTCCCCCAACCCCTGGTAACCTCTACTATACTTTCTATGAATTCCATATTCATTTTTTAGATCTCTGTTGAAGTAATATTTTGGATACACTGGGTTAAATAAAACATGTTATTAAAATTAAGTTAACCTTGTTTCCTTTTATATTTTAATGTGACTACTTGAAAACTTTATTTACGGGGCTCACATTATATTTCTACTGGACAGTGCTATGCTAGAGCATATGTAAGTAAGAAAATAGAGATGATGCTGGAACGAGTAGATGCAGGTCAAGTCATAAAGGGCCTTATATTACCTTATAAGATAAAATCTTACAAGTAGCGGAGAGCCAATAACAAACTTCTAAGGGGAGGGACATATTTCAAAGAATGCCATGTTGGCAGTGTGGGTGCTAGACGGGAGGAGGACAAGGCTAGAAGCAGGAGACAGGTTAGAAGAGTCACAGCAGTAGAGCGGAGAGGGGAGGAAGATTCAGATCAGGGCAGAAGAGGACCGGATGGAAAGGAACCACAGCTCGTAACAGAATGGCTGCATCACAATCACCTGGATACGTAAACAAGTCATAACTGTCACAACTTACAAGATAATTGTGAAAGTCTGATCAATATAAAATCAATAGCTTTCTAAGCTCATTATAAAAATATGAAGAAAATCCCATTCATAACAGCAATATATACTATTTTAAAACTACACAAAACAATCACATATACACACACACAAACCTAGGTATAAACGCAACAAGAAATGTGTAAGATCAATATGAAGAAAAACAGAAAGCTTTACTAATGACAGAGAAGACAACTGGAAGAGCAGAGACATATTAAAGCAGCTAACACAGAGCATATATCATGTGCCAGGCACTTTACACATATATGTACTCATGTATACATGACTCATTTAATTCTTTCAACAACTCTCTGCAGAAGGTACTATAATCATCCTATTTTTTTTAAAAAAAGAAGGGAAGAATAACTGTTTTACAGAAATACTCAAAACAATATATGAATTCAATACAAACTTAATTTTTTTAAACTTTTTAGAGCCAGCCCTGATGGCCTAGTGGTTAAAGTTCAGTGCTCACCAGTTTGGCAGCCTGGGTTCACTTCCCAGTCGCGGAACCACACCAGTGGTCTAGTTGCCATGCTGTGTTGGTGGCTCACATAGAAGAACTAGAACAATTTACACCTAAATATACAACCATGTCCTGGGGCTTTGGGAAAGGAAAACAAAAAAATTTTTTTAAAATGAATTGACCATCAAGAAAGTGAAAAGACAACGCACAGAATGGGAGGAAATATTTGCAAGTCATATATCTGGTAAGGGCATGTATCAAGAGTATATAAAGAACTTACGACTCAATAATAAAAAGAAAAACTAATTAAAAATGACCGAGGAGTTGAATAGACATTTCTTCAAAGAAGATACACAAATGGCCAATAAGCACATGAAAAGATGCTCAACATCATTAGCTATTAGGGAAATGCAAATCAAAGTCACAGTGAGATACCACTTCACACCCACTAGGATGGCTCTAATCAAAAAGATAAGAGCTGGCAATAATATGGAGATATTAGAGCTTGCATACACGCCTAGTGGGAATGTAAAATGGTGCATCTGTTTTGGAAAACAGTCTGGCAGTTCCTCAAATAATTAAACAGAGAGTTGCTAATCACCCAGAAAGTCCACTCCTAGGTATATATCCAAGAGGAATGAAAATATATGTCCACACAAAGGTTCACAGCAGCACTATTCATAATAGCCAAAAAGTGGAAACAATCCAAATATCCATCAGCTGATAAATGGATAAATAAAATGTAGCATATTCATAATATTATGGATGGAATTGTGTCCCCCAAAAAGATATGTTGAAGTCCTAGCCCCCGGTACCTGTGAATGTGACCTTATTTCAAAATAAGGTCTTCGTACACATAATCAAGTTAAAATCAGGTCATACTGGAGTCGGGTGGGCCTTTAATCCAACATACCTGGTGTTCTCACATGAGGGGAGAAGAGACGCAGAGACAGACTCGCACAGAGAGAATTAGGATGTGAAGACAGACACTTGGGGAAGAAAGCCGTGTGAAGACAGAGGCAGAGGTTGGAGTCAACCAGCTGCAGACGAGGACTGCCAGCCACCAGCAGAAGCTGGGAAGAGGCAAGAAAAGATCCTCCCACAGCCCTCAGAGAGAGCACAGCCCTGCTGACTCCTTGACTTTGGACTTCACAGCCTCCAGAACTGTGAGAGAACACGTTTCTGTCACTGAAAGCCACTGCAAGGTGTGTGTGTCACTTTGTTACTGTAGCCCTAGGAGACAAATACACCACAGGATGGAATTTTATTCAGCAATAAAAACGAATGAGTACTGATACACGACACAACACAGATGAACTTTGAAAACATTATGCTAAGTGAAAGAAGGTAGTCACGAAAGACCACAAATTGTATGACTCCATTTACACAAAATATTCAGATCTATAAAGGCAGTAAGATAGTGGTTGCCTAAGGCCAGGGTACTGGGGAATGGGATAGGGAGTGACTGCTAATAGGTATGGGTTTCTTTTGAAGGTGATAAAAATGTTCTAAAATTAGACTGCGGTGATGGCTGCACAACTGTGAATACACTAAAAGTAATGTACACTTTAAATAATGAATTGTGTGAATTACATCTCAATAAAGCCACCTTAAGAAAAAACTATTTGACAAGCTGATTCTAAAATTATCTGGACAGAAACTGTAAGACTAGACCCCAAATATTATTATTTAAATAACGAGCATGGGAGCTGATAAAGTATATGATTTCCAACAAAATAACAATTATAATTATCATGAGGGAGTATTTTCCCTACTAGATATCAAAGTATAATACATATTTAATATACATATTACATATTTAATATATATTGTGGTATTGGTTCAGCAAAATAGAAAATTAGGCCACAGAACAGAAGAAAGTCCAAAAACAGACTGTGTGTGTGTAAGAAATTAGAACACGATAAATGTGGCGTTTCAGATTAATGGGTCAAGAATGGACTAAATATTCAGAGTGACATTGGAAAACAGTAATTATGCACAAACCATTTACACACACACAGAAATTTTTTTAAAAACTCAAACATATAAGAACTTACAGGAGAAAATATAGTCCTAAGACAAAACCCTGCTCTGCTTCAGCACTATTGATATTTTAGGCCAGAACAACTCTTTGTAGTGGGGGCTCTCTTGTGTACTGTAGGATCATTAGCGGCATCCTGGCTTCTACCTGTTGGACGCCAGCAGCACCACCACTAAAAACTGGTGTTTTGGACAACCAAAAATTGTCTCCTGACATTGCCAAATGGCCCGTCCTAGAAGGCAAAATATCTCCCCCATTTGAGAATCAGCGGGGTAGGGAATGATAGCCACAAAATACAAAATATACACAGTAAAAGATTGACACATTTAAAGATAAAACTTAAAACTTTGGTTCAACAAGGAGGCCACATGGTTAAAAAAGACAAGCAACAACTTTACAAAGTACCAAGTTTGGAATAAACATTTAAAACATATATACATGACAAAAGATTAATATCCAAAATACATAAAACACTACTATATATAAAAAGACAACTCAATAGAAATAGACATTTCTCAAAAGAGGAAATACAAATAGCCAACAATCATGAAAAGATGCTCAATCTCATGAGTAACCAGGAAATACCAATTAAAACACCAATTAGAATCATTTCCCACTCATCAGATTGGCAAATATAAGAAAGACTGATACCATTAAATGTTTAAAAGAGTTGGGGAGGGGCTGGCCCCGTGACAGAGTGGTTAAGTTCACGCACTCCACTTCAGTGTCCCAGGGTTTCGCCCGTTCAGATCCTGGGTGCAGACATGGCACCGCTCATCAGACCATGTTGAGGCGGCGTCCTACATGCCACAACTAGAAGGACCCACAACTAAAAATGTACAACTGTGTACCAGAGGGCTTTGGGGAGAAAAAGGAAAAATAAAATCTTAAAAAAAAAAACTGGGGAAATAGACATTATTACACACTGTTGGTGGGCAGTTTGGCATTAAATGTCCACACACTCCAGCCCAGCAATTCCACTTGCTGATTTCTGTCCTCGAGAAATGCTCCCATGGGCACAAGATGCATGTGAAGGATGTTCTCTGCCACACCATGTCTAACAGTGAAAAACTGTAAGCAATCTATGGAATCTCACATACTACGGAATTTACAGAGCAAGAATAAAGAATAAGGTGGATCTCTACATATTGACAAAGAAAAAGTTCCAAGACCCCTTTTTCAGCATAAAAACTCAAGTTGCTGAATAGGTACAACATGCTGTATATGTAAAAAAAAAATTTGTAAAAATTTAACACGAAATCTTACATACATATATCTTATACACACAAACATTTGTCAATAAATGTAAAGAAAAAGAAACAGAAAAACACACCTCAAACTGATAATAGTTCTTACGTTGGGGCAAAAGATTAAAGAACAAAAGATGGAGAAGCAAAGAGACAGGCCAAAGAGAATCTATTTAGGTTAAATTTTTGACATGAATTTTTTAAGATTGTAGGCATGGACTACAACTAAAACAAATATTTAAAAATAAATACATTTTATTGCTGGCGAGCATGATGCAGTCTATACAGAAACTGATAATAATGTACACCCGAAATTACAGTTATAAACCATTATGACCTCGATAAAATAATTGGGAAAAACCCCTACAAATTACAAAAAATAAATACATTTTTAAAACAAGCTCAACTTGCCCAAGATGAACCATTCCCTCTCCCTATTAAATCTCCCTTCTCCTCACTTCCTAATTCTGAAAACTAAAAACCTTTCAGTGCAGTTCCTTCTGGGCTTGCCACACAACTAAAAAAGCACGGTATAAATAACTTAGTGTTTCCAAGGAGTGGGCGTCTAAGGGAGTGTGTCTGCGTCCAACGCGGTATCCAAAGCCTATAAAGGTTTGAGTTTGATTACACTCTAACGAAGAGGTGTCAATTTTGTAATAAGTCGTCATTAAGGTTCTCGCTCTGATCTATCCAGGGATGCGAAAAGAGACAGAGGCAGCCGTCAGCGAGGCCCCGAGGCGCGGGCGCGGTCTGCTAGGAAAGGGGTGGTAACGGGGGGCGGGGAGGTCCCCAGGAACCGAGGGAAGGGCTGTACCCGGGGACGTGCACCACCCGGGGACGTGCACCGCCCGAGGAGCTGCTGGGCGCCGCGGGCTGCGCCTCCCTCTCGGCTGACCGGGTCGGGAAGCCACGCAGGTTTGCTGGATGCTCCCAAGGAGAGAAGGGGGTCCGAGGGGCGGCCCGGGGAGCAGTGAGGGCCGCGGACCCGCGTGAGAGCCCTCGTCGAGCAGCCGGGTGTAGAACCGCCCCGCCGCGGCCCAGGGGGGAGAAGAGGCCGCACCGGGGGGCGGGGAGAGGGGCAGGGCCAAGTCGCCTGGGGACCGCGGGGTCCCCGCAATCAGTCGCCCCCGCACATGGCTCCGGCCCCACGACCCGGCTCCTCAATCGGCACTGGAAACCCCCTCCGTTCCTCGCACATGCCCAGCGAGAGGCCTCGCCAGCCTCTGATGCTCGCTTACCTACGGCCCAGGACCCGACCCGAACACCTGCGGCACCTTCCGTGAAGAACTGGAACCTCCGCGGCCACCTGCGCGCACCCACCCGGATCTACTAGGGCCGAAACCACTTCCGGTCCAGCGACGGGCGAAGAGGACCTACCTCCAGCTGCGGCGTGTACAATGAGCGACGCCATCTTGTACGGAAGCTGCTGTTACAGCTGTGGCCCCCCAGTTTCTCCACTGCTGAACAAAGGATCTGCTAAAATTGGAAAGGCTTAACCTCTCTTCAGAAAAGTGATGTTTTTGGTTTTGTTTCTGGGGTGGTATTTTTGTTTCTTTTGGTTTGGGCTTTAAAGGGAGAAACCTCTGGAACCCTCACATGTGCAATATGGGACATCTATTACTAATTAGCGCGAGCAGTTTCTCTATTAATTTTCTTAACTGTTAAGTGGTGAAGGTAAAGAGGAGAGACATTTGTTTAAATAATATATTCCTCATCAGCAGTGCATTTCATACTATAGCCATTATAATAATTTATGCCATCTTTTATAACAACCACCACAATATTTTCCAGTTATATTTAAAATCGTTCAACCAGTCTTTATCAGCAACTATTATATGCGAGGCAGCTAATGTCTGCTCTGTGCTGTTGTTTTGTCATAGACTGTGTAAAACAGAAAGAGAAATGAGATGTGCGTAAGCAATATAAGGTGTAATAATAGCTGCCACTTGTTAACTATGTGCTTGCTCACAGTGTGCTAGGAACTTTGCAAAGTGTTTTACATATTTTATCTCATTTAATCCTCATAACAACCTCGTGAGGCAGTACTGTTATTTATGCCATTTTGCATAAAATGGAGAAAGGTTAAATAAATTTCTTAAGGTAACCCAGCAAGTTAACATTGTATCTGGGAATTAAACCTCAGAGTGTCTGATTGTACGGCTTGTTTCCTTCATCCTCTCTATATATTGCCTCCAGTACAGAAAAAAGGTTCTGAGTTCCATGAGATAAGTACCCTTAAGGGGGAAATTTCTGGCAGATGTAGAGGATTAACCTCTTGAATTTTAATCTGCTCTATCCTGAAACATCTAAAAAACAAACAAAAATGTAAAGAGGAAGTGCAGATTAAAGCCACAATGAGATACCATTACATACCCACCAGAAAGGCAAAATGAAAAGGACAGAAAATACCAAGCACTGGCAACATCGTGGAGCAACCAGAACTCTCATATGCTGCTGAAGGGACCATAAATTGGTACAATCGCTTTGTTAAACTAGTTTGGCCATTGTCAACTAAACCTGAATTTATGCATAGCCTTTCTCCCAACAGTTTCACTCCTAGGGTATATACGCAATAGAAATGTGTACATATGTTCACTAAAAGGACAAGTACATGGGGCTGGCCTGGTGGTGCAGCAGTTAAGTTCACATGCTCCGCTTCAGTGGCCAGCCCGGATCCTGGGTGCAGACCTATGCACCGTTTGTCAAGCCACACTGTGGCAGGTGTCCCACATATAAAGTAGAGGAGGATGGGCACAGATGTCAGGGCCAGTCTTCCTCAGCAAAAAGAGGAGGATTGGCCATGGATGTTAGCTCAGGGCTAATCTTCTTAGAAAAAAAGAAAGGACAAGTACAAAAAAAGCTCATACCCATACCTTGTAATAGCCCTAAACTGGAAACTACCCAAATATCCACGCTGTTAGAAGTCAGTGCAGTGATAACTCTTGGTGGAGTGATGGCTCTGGAAGAGAACATGGGGAGGCTCATGAAGTGCTGATAATGTTTTATGTCTTAATCCAAGTGTTGGTTTCCATGTGCGTTCAGGTTGCATATTGGTGGGCACTTTTCTGAATGCATGTATAAAAAGTTGTTGTTTTTTTTAAATGAATGTAAAGGAGTGAAAAGTTAATAAACCCAAAGAAGAAGAAGAACAGGAGAGGAGATAATAGCAGACAAATAAATATCAGTATAACTTTGGAAGATAGAAATTGGATTAGGATGGCAGAATATTGACATTTGAGGGATCCCGTAACGAACTGTCTGGGTCCATAGGCAATCACCCTACATGAAGGCCCAGTCAACAAGCCCCCTCTGTGTATAAAGAATTTCCAATCAGCTTTTTAGTTCCTCACTTTGTCTTAGTCTGTTTGGGCTGTTATAACAAAATACCATTGACTGGGAGGCTTATAAACAACAGAAATTTATTTCTCACCGTTCTGGAGACTGGGAAGTCCATCATCAAGGCACCAACAGGTTTTTTGTGTGGTGAGTGGCTGCTTCCTGGTTTATAGATGGCAGTCTTTTCACTCTGTCCTCCCTTGGCTGAATGGGTAGGGAGCTCTCTTGGGCATCTTTTATAAGGCACTAATCCCATTTGTAAGGGCTCTACTCTTATGATCTAATCACCTCCCAAAGGCCCGACCTCCTGATACTATTATATTGGGGTTAGTTTTCGACATATGAATTTTGAGGGGACACAAAACATTCAGTCTATGGCACTCTGAATGTGAAAAGACATCCAAGAATCACCAGTTATTGCAGGAACCTCTCCAATACCAATAATTAACATTTTCTAATGAACATGTATAGAAAATGCACCCAGCATTTTGAAAACACACGTACTTTTTTTCTTTTTCTTCTTTGTCTTCTCCCCAAAGCCCCCCGGTATGTAGTTGTATATTCTAGTTGTAGGTCATCTGGTTGTGCTATGTGGGACGCCGCCTCAGCATGGCCTGATGACCAGTGCCATGTCTGCCCCCAGGACCTGAATCGGCAAAACTCTGGACCGCCAAAGTGGAGTGTGCAGACTTAACCACTCAGCCACAGGGCCAGCCCCCACATATACTTTTAAAACATATAAAGAGGATGTAAGAAAATTAATTTTGATTTAGCCCATTGAGCAGCTTTCTACAAATTACAAGAAATTGCTATCATACAGATCTCATTCTCTGACCATATTAAAATAAAGTTGGAAATCAATAATAAAATGATTATTATTTTTATTTTGAGGAAGATTAGCCCTGAGCTAACATCTGCTGCCCTCCTTCCTCTTTTTGCTGAGAAAGATTGTCCCTGAGCTAACATCCGTGCCCATCTTCCTCTACTTTATATGTGGGATGCCTGCCACAGCATGGCTTGCCAAGCAGTGCCGTGTCTGCACCCGGGATCTGAACTGGCGAACCCCAGGCCGCCAAAGCAGAACATGTGAACTTAACTGCTGCACCACTGGGCAGGCCGCTAAAATGATTATTTTTAAAACTCCATATATTTGGAGATTTTAAAAAATCTTAATAACTGAAAGATTAAAGAAGAAATCCCAATGGAAATTTATAATATTAGATTTAAGAGGTAACAAAAATATTATATATGAAAATTTATAGGATACAGGTAAATTAATAACCTTATATGCTTTCACATTAGAAAATAAGACTAAAAATTAATTATATAAATAATAAGCTTAATACATTAGGAAAAAGACAAAGAATAAATACAAAATAGTAGAGAAAAGATAAAGATCAAAGAATAAATTAATGAAATAGAAAAATGCAACACAGATGGCCAACAAAATTAAGGTTAGATCTTTAAAAAGACTCATAAAGAAAACAAAGTTCTGTGAGACTGATCCAGATAAAAGAGAAATAGCAACAAATAATATTAGGATTAAAAAGGGGGGCATAAAATACAGCAGAGATTTAAGCAATTAGGAAATATGGTGAATAATTTTATGCCAAAATAATTGATTAGAAAATAGAATGAAAGGACAAGCCACAAACTGGGAGGAAATATCTGCAAAACGCATATTTAATAAAGGCCTGCTATCCAAAATATACAAAGAACTTTTGAAACTCAACAACCCAATTAAAAACTGAGCAAAAATCGAATAGACACCTCACCAAAGAAGACATATGATATCCAAATAAGCATGTGAAAAGATGTTCAACATTATATGTTATTAGGGAATTGCAATTTAAAACAACAGTGAGGGGCTGGCCCGGTGGCACAGCAGTTAAGTGCATACGTTCCACTTCGGCAGCCTGAGGTTCACTGGTTCAGATCCCAGGTGCGGACATGGCACCGCTAGACAAGCCATGCTGTGGTAGGCATCCCACATATGAATGGAGGAAGATGGGCACAGATGTTGGCTCAGGGCCAGTCTTCCTCAGCAAGGAGAGGTGGATTGGCAGCAGATGTTAGCTCAGGGCTAATCTTCCTCAAAAAAAAACAACACAAAACCCCACCAAACCCAGCAATGAGATACCAGTATCTCGTGGAATGGCTAAATCCTATTAGAATGGCTAAAATCCAAATACTGACAATGCCAAATGCTGACAAGGATATGAAGCAACATGCACTCTCATTCATTGCTGGTGGGAATGAAAAATGGTACAGGCACTTCTGAAGATATTTTGTTAGTTTCTTACTAAGCTAAACATAGTTTTACCATAGGACCCAGCAATCATGCTCCTACATATTTATCCAAATAAGTTGAAAACTTTATAAGTCCACACAAAAACCTGCACACAAACGTTTATAGCAGCTTTAGTCATAAACTGAAAGCCACCGAGATGTTCTTCAATAGCTGAATGGATAACCAAACTGTGGTATATACATACATTGGAATATTATTCAGCAATAAAAAGAAATAAGCTATCAAGCCACAAAAAGACAGAGGAATGTTAAATGCATATTGCTAAGTGAAAGAAGCCAGTCTGAGAAGGATACATATTCCAACTATATGACATTCTGGGAAAGGCAAAACCATGGGGACAGTGAAAAGATTGGTGGTTGCCAAGAGTTCCTGGAAAGGAAGGGAGGGGTGCATGGGTGGAGCATGAGGATTTTCAGGGCAGTGAAACTATTCTGTATAATACTGTAATGGTGGGTACTTGATATTATGCATGTGTCAAAATCCATAGAACTGTGCAACACAAAGAGAAAACCCTAAAGCAAACTATGGGCTTTAGTTAGTAATAATGTATCAATATTGGTCCATCAGTTGTAACAAATGTACCACACCAGTGCAAGATGTTAATAATGGGGGAACTGTGGGGAAGTTGGGGGGAGGTATTATAGGGACCTTCCGTACTTTCTGTTCAAATTTTCTGTAAATTTAAAACTGTTCTAGAAATAACCTCAATTAATTAAGAAAAAGATCATGCTGTCCACTACGTGATTATCTAAAAATGCTTTATTCATTTATTCATTGATTCCAAGGACAATTTAATGCCAAGCACTGGGATGGCATGTACTGAAAACTCAAGAGGACCTGTGGCAGGAAGTACTAGTGGTCTACCCAATATCCATTCTCCCCATCTGCTTAGTAACAGAAGTCAGGGGCATTTAAAAATTGCATTTAAAAAAATACATTTTTCTGTGTCCATTGGGAATAGGTATGGTCATATGACTAAGTTCTGGCCAATGAGGTATAAACAAAAGCTTTTACATTGGACTTTTGGTAAAGTTCCTAAAAAGGAGTCAGACAACTGGCACCAGCCTTTTTTGCCTTTTTGTCATTGCCCTTCCACTTCTTTCTTGCTAAGACTAGGACCTGATGGCTGGAGCTCTGACAGCTCTCTGCCACTGCAGTGGCACCTTGAAGACAGAAACCATGTGCTTAGGAAGGTAGAGTGGAGAGGTAGAAGCCTGGCTCTTGATGCTTTCTGTAGTTTTCGTACTTACCCTGAGCTACGTAGCTCTGCACTTCTTTTACATAATTTTTTAAGCCACTGCTGTCAGTTGCAAGTCTTTTGTTACCAGCAGTGGAACCCAGTCCCTAACTGATGCTGATATTAATAATGAGTGCATGCCATACAGGTCAACTAAAACCTATTGAGACAGTGCCCAGCACTGAAGATACACGAGAAAGGGGGAAAACTTCCACTGGATTTGTTTAGTGTATTGAAGATAAAGGCCAAAAACTTGGAGGAACCAATAAATAG